TTTAAATTTGTAGCAATTTACAAGTTGGAGTTAAGCCGAGATTATTCCTTAATTCACTTGTTTAAATTTGTAGCAATTTACAAGTTGGAGTTAAGCCGAGATTATTCCTTAATTCACTTGTTTAAATTTGTAGCAATTTACAAGTTGGAGTTAAGCCGAGATTATTCCTTAATTCACTTGTTGAGATTTGTAGCAATTTACAAGTTGAAGTTAAGCCGAGATTACTGTTTCTCTTCACTTGTTGAAATTTGTAGCAATTTACAAGTTGAAGTTAAGCCGAGATTATTGCTTAAATTCTCATAGCAATATGTGGGTTGCTTAACCCTAAGGAAGATGCTTAACACTTGTTGAAACTTGTAGCAATTTACAAGTTTATGATCACCCACCGGGGTATACAGAAATTTACAAGTTGAAGTAAAGGCTAAGTATATTGTTTAAACACTTGTTGAAATTTGTAGCAATTTACAAGTAGGTTAGACCGAGATCACTGTTTAATACTTGTTGAAACTTGAGAAGAAGCTTGCAAAATTTACATTAAGCAGTATACGTTTTATACTTGTTAAATTTATGAAAGGTTTGCAGGTCAGTATCTTGCCGAAGTAAACGTTTTGTAGTTATACCCGAGGTATGTAACCCCGAGCAGATTGCACAAAGAAAGCAAAATGAAAAAGCATGCAAAAATTTCTAAGTATAAAACTATGCAGAAACAATCAACAGAACATCACAAGATTAAAAACATCCATAGAAAGAACAGTTGCAGTTACATATTGAAAAAGCTACGTCGGCCATAAAAAGGAGTTTTGCATTGTCCAGAAATTAAAAGAGAGTACAAAGTACAAAGTGCAGAAAAAAGAAGGAAAAAGAACAAAAGACAGTTTAAATCAAGACTTTTCAGTATTAGCAGCTGCAGGGACTGGGACCTCGGACGATTCTGGTGGAACCTCCTCGGCAACCTTTTCTGCTTCAATCTCAGCATCGATCTCAGCCAGCGTATTGTCCGAATTTCTTTCAGCCAAAAGAAGGTCGGATGATAGTTGTCCGATGGCAATTTCCTTGGGCGCCTCCCCAACCTCATCACCCTCCTCATCCAAGGTTAAATCCATCACTTGCCCAGTAGGAGGAGGGGACTTGGCTTCAGCAGCATCTTTGGGTCTCCTCACCAAGGCTTCATCATCATTTTTCTCTTCGTCCTCACCCTCGGCATCAGCCTCAGTATCTGATTCGTTTTCAACTTGACTTGGAGGAGGAAATGGTAAGGGAATGGCATCAGCATTACGAAAGGGCGAGTCAACAGGGAGGTTAAGTTTTTTTATCAAGGACATCCAACCTAGGAAAAATCCCCTGTTGCATGCCTGCCTGACTTGAAGTTTATAATCCTCTGCGATGTCGGCCATACCCTAGGCATAGGCCTTTTCATCAGCCTCTTTGACTTCGGCCTCCTTGGTGGCCAAAGCCTGCTGGAGCTCCTTCTCAGCCTGGGCCTTTTTTACTTCGGCGTCTTTCTTCTCAGCTTCAGCTACTTTTCGGATAGCCTCAGCAGACTCCGCTTTCTCTTCGGCCATCTGCTGGGCCTTGGTAGCAGCCTCGGCCTGATCCTCCAGTTTTTTCATCTTTGATTCAAGAGATTTAATCTCTTTCTTCAGGGAAGATGCTTCCCTCTTCATATCAACCAATCTTTGCCGATTTTCAAAAGATTGCATTGAAAATGAATGGGCATGCTGAATGGCCTGAAGAAAAACAGAAGTGTTAGAAAATATTCTCAGTAAAAAACAGAAGGAAAAATCACAAGTGCAAACAGGAATACTTACTTGAACGGAGTGTTGGAGCATGAGAGCGTAATTCTCATACTCACTGAGCTCAGCATTTCGTTCCAAATCCTTCGGAAGGAGAAGAGCAGTGCTGAGGGCGACACCAACGTTAATATCGTCGGCACTTTCACTGGCCATAATAGGCCTATCCTCCAGAGTTAGTTCAGGGGCCCATGGAACGTCGGGCTTCTTGGACGCCGAGGTCGTCGCGGACGATGACCTCGGCTTTTTTGATTGTGTAGACCCTGAGGGTTGGGCGTCAGCAGACCTCTTGGTGGAAGCAGAGGTTGATTTTTTGCTTTGTGCCAACTGAGAAATAGGCAAAGCATCCTCAACCTCGGCGTCAGTAACCTTGGCCTTGGGCTGAGCCTTTTTTACTCTCTTCAGCTTTGGTGGGGGCATCGCATGCGTTGGTACAGCTTCGGCGTCGGTTGGAAGGTCGGCAAGAAGATCTTGAACGACAGGCCTTGGACGAACCATCTCGGCAGTCTTTACAAGTCTTCGTCGACGTTTACGTTCTGGAATTGGTATTAAGTAGGGGGCCGAAGTGGATGGAAGATCGGCTGGGTCGGAGGTGGATCCTTGATCTGTTCGGGATGAAGACGCGGTTACAGTTGTGGCAGTAGGTGGAGAAAGACTCTTTTTCTTCCTTTTTGGGACGTCAGGTAAAGTGGATTTATATGTTGGGATGAAGTTCAGCAACAGGGGAGCCTTGCGCTTATGGATTGGAAGACCAAGAAGCTTCTTTAAATCTTGTCCAGGGAAAAAGGATCGACGGAAGTTTTTTGGTGGTTGATGAAGATCTGCATGACAAGCAAACAGACTTTAGAAACAGACAAAATTTTTAAACTTAAATAAAAAACAACTAAGCGTTGGCACTGGGCTCTTACCCTTGCCCTCTGTAACTGTTCGAGGAAGAGGGTAGAGGTGGACATCTTCGTCTGGGCCAAATTCCCAATTTCCCGAAGCAATAACAAAGTCATCCCCAGCCCCCTTGTTGGAGTCTGCTACAATTTTGAACTCGGTAGACCTCGGCTTAAGGTAATAAACAAAGCCCCTTTCCTTCAGGTTGAGGGGGCATATTGTATAACAGTACTGAAGGTCGGCCCAGGTGATCCTAAGATTCTTCTGCCTAGCTAAAGCTATAATACCGTTAATCACCCTATAGGAGTTGATAGTAAGTTGCATGGGGTTCAGCTTGTAGAAATGAAGAACTTCGCGAAACAGGGGATCAAGTGGAAGCCGAAGTCCACATTCAGTAAAGGCTACTATAGAAAAGGGCATCGTATGGTCTGTGGGCACGATGGTATCATCATCCCCAGCTAGCTTAAGGTGAACATCGGCTGGGATAGAGAATTCCTGCCTAAAGTATTCGAGTTTTGTTGGGGTATTTACCCTATGCCTCCACATACCCATTACGACGACTTAAACAAAAGAAGAATGTGTTTTAGAAAATGGGCGTTTAAAGAAGGGTTGCAAGAACCTCGGCAAAGACCTGGGAAAGGACTGATAAGGCTTGTTTCAGTTTTCCCTAAAAAATTGAAGGTCCTACACACAAATCCCAAGCCAAAGAACCATAAAGATCAAAATCGAAGGCACAGATCTGGAACAGATACGAAAAAAAAATAAAATAAAATAAAATAAAATAAAAAAAAAAACAAGAAAACGATGACGCTTCAGAATCAAAGAACAGAGGTATGGTTCTCAGAATCGAAAGAAATACAGAAGTGAAAAAATCAAGAACAGTGGCAAGAAAAGTGGTGAAATAGTGCAAAAGTTCAAGATATAGCCACGATTCAAGATACAAACAAATCCAAGGCTTTGAACAAAAGCAATAATGACAACAGGCAGACGAAAGCACATAAAGAGAATTAAAAGTGAAAGGAAAGAATCTTACCAGAACAAATGAAGCCGGGGCAATATTCGCCGAGCTCAGAAATCGGTTGTGACAGCAAAGAAAGCTTCGCAAGAATGGAAGATTAAAGACAGTTCCGGAAGAGAGATTGAAGCAATGGCAGATTCGAAGACAAAAGAGCTTTCGGAGAGAGAGAGCAAGAAATCAGAATGAAAAAGTGAAGAAAAAAAGAGGCAAAGAAAAGTTTTGTCAAAAATTTGAAACGGCGGCAAAATTAGGGCATTTATTACGCCTGGAGCAACGCACGCGTCAGACGGCGCAGACAAATGACAGACAACTTTCAGGCGCGTCACAGACACGCTCCAATGAAGGCAAAGCACGTGAAAGGAACGGTAAGATGTGCATGACAGCTCATGCGCGTGATGGAGTACATTTTGATTCTTATTCTCAGAAGCGAACACATCGGCTTGGAAAAGAATTATCTCGGCCAAACAGTCTCTTAACCACAGTGCAAAAAGAAAAATCGATATAGGTTCCACCACCTCAAAATGCCGAGGTAATAGAACCTAGGGGGCAGTTGTGGGGATATATTTTCTGAATACCAACACGTGGCATGGTGACGCCGATGTGTCAGCCGAGGTGCCACGTGTCGTCATAGTTAAGCCGAGATGATCTCGGAGTTGCCGAGGTTATCCCCGAAGATATCGGAATCCGAGATAAGCAGATAAGGGACAAGAGTCCTAAGAGGGGACTTAACCAAGATAAAACTCTTAAGGGAGTTTATCTTTATCTCTTAAAGTGTCCAAAGTAAGCACTAAATTGGAGTTCATAGAAGTCATACTTTTAGTGGGACTTAGGTTGAGTATATTATAAAAGAGAGGCACCCCTGTGGGTCTAAGGTATGCAATTTATGTTTTGAGTATTAAGTTTTGCACTTGATTATCTTTGAGAGATATACTGACTTGATCGTCGGAGTGCCCCCGGGTGGAAGAACCACCGCCGGAACCCTTTCTTTCTATTTCAGGTTGTTGAAGCCATCTATTCTGCCTGTGCTCTCTAGTTGATCACTAAGCATGCAGTGTGGTCAGATTTTCACCCACACAATTGTTTTAGAGGAATTTAAGTTTCACATATTACATTGTAGCATTAGTTGTATTGATTTGATTATATACATGATGTAAATATTATATATCGCTATTTTCCAATTATAAAATTATAGATTTATACTTTTTATTCATGTAACTTATGCCACCCTTCTAAAAAAAAAAAATATTTATGTCAAATAATAAAGTATTTTTAAATGGGTAAATTATACTCTAAAATTCTTATTATATAACTCAAAAAGTATATGAAATAATTGAAAAATAATAAAATGACTGCTAAAAATCTATTAATTTTCATTTTTTAAAAAATATTATTTTTCATAACACGTAAGTAAAAAATATCTTTTAAGTAGAGTTGTGCCAAAAAGGCTAACTCAATTTAAAAAATAAATAAATAAATTCTGGGTCTGCCCCTAACTCATGGGGTGTGGGGTGGCTGCTGTGCAGCGAAATTGGCTTATTTCGGAGTTTATTTTAATAATTTGAACTGTTTATATTTTAAAGGGAAAATCGGTCTAAGGTCCCTCTCCCACTTTTCGTAATGGAAGAGATTCACAAAATTATTTTTTGATGTCTAAGGTTCCTAAACATATATCAGAGAAAATTGACTTTGTCTTTCCTCTCTCTTTCTCTTCTCTGCTCACACATCAATGGCTTCGACAGCTCTTTCACACAGTCTTTCCTCTCATCTCAGCTCTCACCGAACCCACACCAACTTCTCTCTTTCTTTGCGTCGATCGATTTCTGTCTCCTCCTCTCCAACCTCTTCTTCCATCTCCAGATGCCTCATTCTCTCGACCCAATCGAAGACCAATCGCACTTGTTTCGTATCTAATTGTTCTGCAGATGGGAAACAAAACTCCACCGAAGAAGTTCCCATCGAAGAACTTTGCCGTCGCTCACCGCCTCGGCCCCATTCCAGTCAGCCCTCCACAGCTGCCGTGGCCGTGGACGGAGGTGATATCTTAGCAGATTCAAGGCTCATGGAGAGTATTTCGTCGACATTGTAAACTCGAGCTTTGATGGCTGCCCAGTGGAAGGGAGTTCGACCTTCATGGTCCTGTAAAGAAGAGAGATCTGAGTCTGATCTGAGGAGTTCTCTGGTTGTCTCAAGGTGACCTTTGCTGCAAGCTAGGTGCAATGGTGAACATCCATGGCTGTCTGTTTTCGAGGCGAAATCAGGGCATTCTTTCAGTATTTCCTTGACTATCCCTGCAAAAATCAGGACACTAGCAAATAAGAATAAGAAATTATCAATACAAATGAGATAATTTCTCCGGACCAACCCAATTGAATTTCTCTGAGTTGAAGTGTCCAGAGAAATTTCAAAGACCAAACACAGAATTTCTCTGGGTTGTTGTTGTTGGTTTTTTTTTTTTTTTTTGGTGATACAGAAAATTTCTCTGGTTTTAAATCCAGAGAAATTCTCTGGTGATGAGATTTTCTCTGTGAATATGTATCCAAGTCATCGCAAAATCAATTGGTTCTATAGTGGATATAATTTTGAAATTTTTTATGTGATTTGTTCAAAGAAATTTGAAATTTTCTCTGTGATGTCCAGAGAAATTTTCTGGACAGAATTTTCTCTGAAAATTTGATTTGGAATCTGATAAAAAGCTTCATAGTTTTAATATAGGGAAGCATTCCTACTTAAAGACTTGTGCCACAGTTGGAGCATTTGGGTCTCCGGAGTCGAGTGGCAGTGGAGATGATAACAACAGTAGCAACAATAGTGGAGGATCAAACCCACGGCAGAGAAATTAGTCCATGAAAGGCTAAGGAAAATTTCTCTGGATCAATTTTCTCTGACTTGAATTTTCTCTGGACCAATTTTCTCTGGATTGATGTTGAGGGACCTTAGACATCATGAAAATATTTGATATCCTTTATACTGTAAAATCATAATATCAGGGACCTTAAAAAAAATACCCCTTTTTTAAAAGGTAAGTTATAAATACATCACTTGAAATTTGTATAAAATACGAATTGCTTCATATAATTTGAAAAAATATAAATTTCCACCTTATTGTTAGAATTTTTTATTTAACCAAATTAACTGAAAAATAAAATTTCTAATTGTTTTCTTATATAATAATAAAATTATTTGAATTATTAATTGAAATAAATTTCCGATATCATTAAAAACTGTTAACTAATTTAATGTTTTATTAATAAAATAGAGTATTTATTACGAAATTAGAAACTTTAAGGGGCGAGATATAATTTTCATAATCACAAAGAATAATTTATATTTTAAAAAATTTTAAGGGGTGAGATGTAATTTTCATAAGTACAAAGAGTAATTTATATTTTAAGAAAATCTCAGAAAGTATATTTATAATTAATAATATTAGAGGCCCATAAAGTGTGATAAGGGAAAGTATCAGTGTTGGCCATCTATCAACTGCTAATCTTTTAGACATTGTTCATGTTTGGTTTAGTATGTTTCTACTGGGCTGTGGCTCACCCTATATGGGAATATCATTTTCAGGTACAGGTAGCATGCCACCTCCAAGGACATAGCTTGGGAGGCTAGAGGCGGACACACTTTTGTTGTCTTATTTTCTTTTGATGTATTTCATGTAAATTCAAACCAAGTGCTTAATGTGTAAATGAGTTAATATTCTTTTATTGTAACCAAGTGTTAACTTGGAAAGCTGTAAACCCTTAGGGCATTTGCTTTTGTCGTTAACATGTAATACTTTTTGTAATGGAATTCTGATGAATAGAAGAATGTGGAGTTTTTATATATCAATGCATGTCTCTACTGATGGGTTTAATGTTATTATTTTGAGGGCGTTACAGAAATGCCTTCCACCTCTTTGTGCCCATTTATACCCTGAAAAAAAGAAGAAGAAAAAAGACAGCTTCAACAGCAAATTCAGCAAAAAAAGCAGCAATTTTAGCATAAAACAACAGCAAAAAATAGCAAAATAGTAGCAATTTCAGTACCAAAACAGTAGCAAAAACAGTAGCAATTTGATCAAAAACAACGCAAGAACAGTAGCAAATGTACTTGACTACACATTATAGTATTTGTTGGTTGAGAATCTATAGTTGAGGCTTGAAAATCTTTAAGCCCAATGTCATATCCACCTTGAAGTAGTGTTATAAATGTTGGTGGAGCACAATACGACAAATTGTTTGCCTATAACGAATTGATATTATATGAATGAGAAGCAAGATTACATAATCGTTTTATACCCACAAAAAAAAAGAAAAAAGAAAAAAAAAAACTAATTGATAAAATCTCACTCACATTATATGTGGGATACATGAATGGATGACGAACTAAAGTATCACCCATGGCAAAGGAATGAGGACGAGGAAGAGGAGAAACATTTTCATGAATGTAGACATCTCCTCTAATAGCTAATGGGGAATGTCTAACTGTTGGAGTTATTCCTATAAAATCATTTCTTAAAAAAGTTTTCTTCACACAGCTTTAGAAAACAATTTGATATTTTATACATTAACCTTTAAAATATCAAACAGGAACTTTTAATTGGATGTCTTATATATTAACTTTGTGTATATCTTCATACATTAATTTAACCTTTAAGAAATCAAACATCAACAATTTGACAAACAAAATTAGCAACAAAACCAACAATTTGACAAACTGACAAGTTGAATAAACCAGTGAAAAATCATGAATTTCACTTATATCAAAATATTTTTTTCTGAAAAAATAACAAAAACTCCACACTATCATTTTCAATGAATCATTATTCTTTAATAATACTTCACACTATTATCATTTGACATTTGTCAATTTATCTTCTAAACACTTAACAAAAAAATTATTGAGTTTTATTATTTTAATAAATCAATATCAATTTGGACTCTATACATGTATGTAAATCACTTTTAAAAGTATAATGTTTGATATAAAATCATAATAGAGTTAACTTTAATTAATGTAATGATATTTTATACTATGATATGTGTTACCAAAGAATTATATTAATTTTAATTCTAATTATTTATTTTAATAATCTTAACATTACCGTTCTATAAAAGTGTTACTTTAATACTCATATATAATAAATTTAGTTAAATTATTTGTTTATTTTGATAATTTTAGATTTTATTGTTCTATAAAAGTGTAATTATCATATAATAATTTTATATGACATATATTAAATTATAAGATAGTAAAATAAATACTCATTTTGTTATTAAAAATAATGGTTAAATTAGGAATAAAATTAGTAATATAAAACTAAAAGTGATTCTAATTATTTAATTCAATTTTTATTTTTATATTTATTTGGAAAATAAAAATATGTAGAAATAGAACTACACAAAATTTATTTACAAGATTAAATATAAATATATTGTGATTGGATTAAGAAGAAAATATATAAATTAAACATGTAGAGTATTGATTTTTTTTCTTTAATATTCTTTTCGAATTATTCATACATATTGTATATAAATATATACATTTTAAATTAAATATAAATATTTTGTCATAAATAATTTCATGTTAAATAAAAAATTAAATATTAATTAATATTAGGGCTAAAAGTCTAAAAATCAAAAATCAAACTTTCTTTGTCAAACAAAATCTAGGCGCAAAAAAACTTTATCCATAAGAACATGCTAGTTCAAAACGCCATGACTACCCCTATATATATATATGTATCATATACTGGTCTCTTACTCTCAATCTTGTCACAAATCTCTCTCTCTCTATCCATTTCATTCTCTCTCTACCTGTACAAATCTTAAGTCGATGGTGGTGGTTCATCCTTACTCTTCTTTCTGTCGCCGCCGAAAGAAGTCTCTACTGCCGTGCCACCTCCAATCTCCTCTCGAATCTCAGATCTTTTATCCACGAGGGACGGAATGAAGTTGTCTTCTTCACTCACGCTGTCTCAGCCAGTGCTTTGTTCCTGTCAAACTCCGTCGACTTCTCCGGTGGACTAGAAGAGATATGGAGTTTGACTGTAGCTTCTTCTCTTAACTCTTCGCTGGCAACTGTTTCTAGCCACAGACTGAGCTTTCCACTGCCAAGGGCAGCAGATCTGTTGGTTATGGTTTGTGTGCGCGTTTCCACCGTCAGAGATTGAGGCACTAAGGAACTAGGGGGTCATGTGCCCCCCTTCCCGAATTTTCAATTTTTATATTTTTTTGGGTCATAAGTAAACACTGACGCAGCCCCCAACCACGTGCATAGGTCCCCCCAATTTCCAAAGCCTCGACTTTTCTATTTTTTTTAATTCTTAACTTGTTGGGCAAGGCTTACAGCGGCAGGACCCTCCAAAACCCTAAAAGTATGTGAAGTTCTTTATTATTTTTTTATTCATGGTACTTGTCAAGTGTCTTCGTATCCTTTTTTGTCTTTTTTGTCTTCTTTTGTTACATTGTAATTTACCGACTTGCGATTCACCAGATTAGAACCACACAACACAGTTTTGGGACCACACTACAACCTTAATGTCTTCTCTTCATTATTTACAGGTTACTTTATTTATTATTTTTACTTCTAAAAAAAATTATGAGTATTAATTTATAATTATTTGTTATCTGTAAAAAATTTTTATTTGTTATTATTTATGTTAAAATAAGATATTTTAATATGCTAAAATTATGAATCTTGATTGGTGGTGACTTATATTAAAATTAGGAATTTTGGTTTATTATTGTTTGTGCTAAAATTAGGGATTTGATTTGTGTTAAAATTAAAAATATTGATTTGTGGTGATTAATATTTAAATTAGGGATTTTGATTTGTCATAATTTGTGCTAAAATTAGGAATTTTGATTTGTTTTGATTTGTGCTAAATTTAAATTTTTTGATTTGTATTAAAATTAGAGGTTTTGATTTGTGGTGGTTTGTACTCAAATTGGGGATTTTGATTAGGAATTTTT